TGGCCTCTGTGTTTCTAAATTAGAAGGCACAGAGTTGGACAGGAAGTTTGGTTTAGAGAAGCGGTTCTCAACCTGTGGGTGGCGACTCCTTTGGGGGTCGAACGACCCTTTCACAGGGGTCGCCTAAGACCATCGAAAAACACATATATAATTATATATTGTTTTTGTGATTAATCACTATGCTTTAATTATGTTCAATTTGTAACAATGAAATTGAAGGTCACCACAACATGAGGAACTGTATTAAAGGGTCGCAGCATGAGGAAGGTTGAGAACCACTGGTTTAGAGTAACGCCACTAGAAAAATATTTTCTACATCAATGCCTTAGTTCCTGTAAAGAAAAAGTGATTTCACAAACAAGACCTTTTTATTAAGCATTTAGCTAGTAGTTAGCCTTCCTTGAAAATAATCAAGCTACAGGGCTTTTAATAGAGTCTAAACGTGTTGCCTTTAAACAGGCAAAATTGGTGGTTCTTTTATAGCTTCTCTCCTAATCATAGGCATGATTCAAAATATATTTTGTGGAACTATCACAAGATCTGTTGGCATTAAAGAGCCCTCGGGGTTCAAAATTTTGCTTTACTGTTCACTCTGATTTTGAGCAAATTAGTTAATCCTTCTGGGCTTGTTTCCTGTAAAACAAGAAGGCTGCCTCGCTATGTGGGGTTGGATTTTACGCACGCCTACGTGGAGGTGTGCACGTACAGGGCTGGGCAGCCATAAAAAGAACCCCACTTTAGAGGCCCTGGGAGTGGGCGGAAGGGAAAAGCTGGGGTGGGTGAGAAGGGAAGCTCAGTGTGGTCAGATAAAAAGGATGAAGGGGGGGATGGAAAGTCACTGCTAATGGGCACAGGGTTTCACGCGGGGGTGATGAGAATGTCCTGAGTTAGATAGTGGTGCTGGTTACACAACTAACATACTAAAACCTATCAGTACATTTTAAAAGGGCGAATTTTATGGTATGTGAATTATATCTCAATTATACTGTTACTTAAAAAAAAAAAGGCCCAGAAAACATAACGTTTGGAGAGGTAATGAGAAATGGGGAATTTTCAAATTCTCTGGTGGGGTGGAGAATCAAGTTCTGATCTATAGGATAAGAAGTCATTATTTAGGGAGGGTGGAAACATTTTTCTTGCTAAATTTTAAATTTTCCATTCCCAACCTAGGTTCTGAAGTTTCATTTTGATAAGAGAATTCCCCTTCACTTCCTGGGCTAAATCATGAGTGGAACATTCCTATGATGATCTGGAATAATCGGTGATGGAATTTCAGTACCTGTAATGCTGCACCCTGGGTTTCAGGACATCGAGAGAAATACCAAAACCAAAGATTTCATAATCACTGCCCCAAACTGCCTTGATGGTACTATCCCAATACAAACAACCATAGGCACAACCATTTAGATTTCTAGTTTATTATTAAATTACATAGCAAAGCTTCTTCTATACAGTCAGAAAATGCACATTTAGATGAGAACAAAAATTAAATACAAATACAATTAAACTGGTTCCAAGAAGCCATTTTAAAAGCAAAAAAATTAGAAAGTGCATTTGGAATAGATTTTTAAAAATCTGTATTGGCATTTTTCAAGAGTAAACATCTTCCATCATGGTAAAGTGTGATTGGAATCGATTTCCCTCCCTAAGAGCTAATAGGATGGCAATAAATGCAAATACTTTGATACTAAAGTGAGACCTTATGTATAAAGAAAATGAGAAAGACATGGCTCAGCTTCTTATCCAATTAACATCCTTAAGAATCACTTGTTCCTCATTTTCCTTTCTTCTATAAGAAGGATTCGCAGATTTATAAAGGAATAACAAGATTAGGTCATAAAGTCCATGATATAAAGCTCTGCATCTTTTTGGAGACCAGCTAAATAACCCCTAACCCAAAAGGAGAATGGAACGCAATCATTTTAATTTTCTGAGTAGAATCCATTTGTTCTTTAGTTACATTTGCCACAAAATCTAGTGCAACACTAGACATGGCCACTTAGACTCATCAGCTTAATGTTGCAAGTTAGAGAACTCAATTTCCAAGAAATCAATCCGATTGATGATCAAACATAAGGTATTAGAAACCAAAGGCTAGTCCAGTTTTTTAAAGTCCTTTCACCAAGTTGAGATTATTAACAGTGAAACAGAAAGTTAACGGTGGGAATGCAAGCCCAAGGTGCCTCAATTATTTAGAGGCCAAAAGGCTCAATAGGTACATTTCTCTATTCAGGTTTACTTAGCATCCAATAGGAAAGAACTAAAGTAAAGATATTTGATTCTAGGTACAAAAAGTCTCATGATGTCTCCCCTCCCGTCACCCATCTCATCTCAGGATTTCACTCCCATGCCTGATCTGAGTCCTGGGCAGTGTGGTAAACGGCATTCTCTGTAAAGCGAATTTTGGTAGAAAGGAGAGAGGAATCGTGGAGAAGGAAAGCCCTTTTCTAACAGCAGACAAATAAAGGGTGACCAATGCAGGTTACAGGGAATCCTTCAGCATCTAAAAGTAGTAATAATAGAGACAGCCAGGACAGACACTAAAGCACTTGGACATTTGGGCTTGAACTTTAGTAAGAGATTTTTTAACTTTTACTAAAGTTACCAGCACACGTTAAAACAGTCTCAGAAGTGTATGTTTTGGAATTTTCTGCCTTTATGTTGCCATGGTTTTTCATACTTTCTAGTGAAATGGAAAGTTTTGAGTGGTTACAAAAGAGATCCCAAAAGGAAAGATCATCATATAGGACAATAAATAGCTGAGGGAGACTGCTCCCTCTAACAGGCAACATTTGGGACTAGAAATAGCAAAGTCCTTCTGCTCTGACTTTCTCCAAGAGTGGCCTACTGCTGGCTCCTGGGCCTACCAACAGGTCTGTAAGAATGGCAAAAAGGGAGAAAAACCAAGATGGTAAAAAAAAAGCTAAGTGTCATGAAACTGAGAGTTCTTAAACCAGCTACCGTGGGCTCCATGTTGAGCCTCTACTTGTCAATGGCACACTTCTTTTTCTTGCTCCAGGCCTCCTAAAGCAGCGGTCGCCAACCTTTCGGACATCATGGTTGGCGACCGCTGTCCTAAAGGACTCGCAGAGGAAGGATGGGCCCTGTCCTAGCTACCTCTCTACATTTGGCCCCGGACACCTCACTGTGGGCTACAGCACTGGGAGGTTGGTCAGACCTATCTGACTGCAACATCTACACCACGCTTTCTCAACTTCCTGGGAAGAACTAGTTTATCTTTGTAAAGAAAAGACCCAACACAATGCTCTTACTTCGTTTAAGCAGAACCTCAATGGAAAGGCTCATCAGTGGCAGCGAGCTAGATTAGCGCAGGTTCTCGTTTTCCTGTCACACAATCAGCTTCGATGAATGCACCAAATAATCAGACCAGTAAAAAAGACTGGTAGGATAATTAAATAAATAATTTTATTTATGAAACTTCAGATTTTATAAATGCCAACTATATAGCAACCAAAGTCCCATAAATTCTAGCTGAGGTACAACCACCAATCAAGGCCCTTTGAAAAATCAAAGATAATAAAGTGTCAGGGGAGAAGAGCGTTGTTCTCCCAACAGAGAATTTAATAAATGACCTTCCCTGACCCTGGAAGGTTCGCATTGGGAAAACTTAAACTATCTTGTAAGGGCATCCCCAATCAACTACTGATCAATCAACCCATATTTAGAAAAATAAACCCCATAGTTAAAAAAATATCAAATGCCTTTCATACCCAGAATATAACAAAACTCTGACACCAGAATGAAAAACCTCTGTCTCTGTATCAGACCATGGATTAGTCGGCCCATCAGCCTGTACATCAAGTTCATCAGAATGACACACACCATCGACACTTTATGATGTAGTTAAGAACTGCATGCTAATATCCTTTCATTTCTGGTGGCACAGTCTGAAGCCAATACTGTAAATACCATAATCAATTCCAATGGTGAAAAGCAGCCTCCTCCTTGGTGAGAATGTAGATGTTGGAAGTCTTCAAACTATTTGTGGTAGTTCAGTTAGACAAAGTAATGAATTTACAGAAACTCAGAAATGGTTAAACCTAAGAATTCTGGTGGGTGGTTTAAGATTTTGTCACTCTGCGGATGAGAGAGGACAGGGGCAGATAGAGATTCTGTCACATGTATATCCAACGGTGACGCCGTTCTCTGGATGTTTGGAAAAGCTTAAGATTTGGAATAAAGAGATTTTCACAGAACACAGAATTCCTGTTATATCGGGTGGTAGTTCTTAAAACTTTTGCTCATAAACGTGGAGCATTTACAAATGGAATTATCTGAATGGTGACTCCTTGATCAATGTCTTTTTACACGTGGCTTGTTCAGATGTCACTGAAAACTGAGCAGTCCCCTCACTCAGTCATCAGTGTGAATCCTGACATGAGGAATAGTTGGGGGCATTGACAGACATTGGCTATTAGCTTCTTTTGTCCTGGCAGAACGAAGATTTCATTTTCTTCTAGTAGCAAATATTAACCCAAATGGAAGAAATAAAAGTCAAAACAATAATTGGCTCCTTAAAAAAGCTGTCATTCTTGATGCCAATGTGCACACGAGTAAAAAAAAGAACATCCCCGCCGAATGGCTCAGTTGGAGCGTTGTCTGTGTATCAAAAGAGGTTGCGTCTGTGTATCAAAAGAGGTTGCGGGTTTGATTCCTGGTCAGGGCACATATGGGAGGCAACCAATCGATGTCTGTCTCTCTCTCTCTTTCTCTCTTTCTCTCTCCCCCTCCCCCTTCCTCATTCTCAAAAAAATTAAAATAAAAAAAATCAATAAAAACATATCCTTGGATGAGAATTACAAAAAAGAAAAATGTTTTGCAGTGTTTATCATTTAAGACAACCTCAACTCTGTTGAAGTTGGCTTGTCAGCATCTCAAAGAATCTGTGAAAAATGGAATTTTCCTTGAATACCAAAAGTTGGGGACACAGAGTAGAAGTTTATAGCACAGATTTAAAAATGACTTGTGACTTTTCATCATGAGTGTAAAATGAAAGGACAAGAACTATTTTTATTCACAACCCAATCCATCAGCTAAAAGGAAAGCAGTCTTTGGAGAGAGAGAGACCTGGTTTTCCGAAGAGTCCAGCTGTGAGACCTAGCTTGCCATCAGCCTCCGACACTATCACTGAAGCGCAGACTCTCTTTCTGACTCGTTTACTTACCCCCTGGGGAGACAAAAGCAACGGAAAACTTTTCCTTTTTTAAAAACTACAAACAGAAGGAAGTGTGTTAGAAAAACTGTGGCTTCAGCTCAACCTGACCACGTCAGAGTCCAGCACTGAGCCCTGAAGGAATCCTGCTGGTCAGGCTAATTATCAGGGCAGTCCATTTCTCCTTCCCACTTTTCCTTATTCCAGATCAGGGCCTGAAAGTGGTAGTTGTCAAGAGTCCCTGGAGGCGTCTCATCAATGGAAAGCATACAGCAGCAATAGGATGGTACAGACACCAACAACACCACCCAGGATGAGTGAGTCTCGCCGCTTCCTAAGGTTGATTCGCTGGATCAGGCTGTTCACAGCAGGAAAACGATCTTTGGGAAATCTTTATTAAGGTCATATTTGGAAGCCTCTTTAGTGAAAAGTCACAGAAATCACAAAAACAGAGATCAGTAGAGTCCAGAAACAGTAAGTAATGGGAAGAGAATCACACTGAGGGAGTTGCGGCCTTTAACAAACACACAAACTGGAAATGCTCAGGGCCCAAACAAATTCCAGTCTCCTAGTACACGGCAGTACACAAATAAGAATAAAAAAATTAATAGAGAGAGGGGGAGAAGAAAATAATAATGACAGCTACAATGTATTAAGGGATTACTGCCAGGCTTCAGGTCAAGTTGGTCAGAAACAGAGGAACCCCACTGGGCATGGAGGCAAATGTACAGGCAGCTACCACCACCCCCCCCATTCCATCCCACCATTCCTTCTCTCTCCCTCCCGCCTCCTACACACAAACACACACACCCTCTCTCCGTCCCTTTCTATTCCTTCTCTATGGTGACTAAAAAGTTTTGCCGAGGATTTGAAGTGTGCCCTTCCTCTCCCCACAGGGTGGTAAGTTCCCCTGGATTTGGGCAATTGGTGGGAACTGACTCTAGGATCTGCATAATCAGGCACTGTTATTAAAATTTTATAATTTACTTTGTATCAGTAGGTAGGACATGGTAGGAAAGTGGGTTCAATTGCTCTAGTTGTTCAATTTCCAGAACATATAAAAAGAAAAGAAATTTTCAATTATAGAGGTTTTATAGCAGTTACAACTGTATTTTTCTTAGTATTTTAAAATATCTTCACACTCTTGTTTATATGTTATACAAATTACAGCCTATACTGTTTTGCATTTCTGGCAAATGCAAAAGGTGCGGGTGCATCTTTTGTTAGTAGAGGTATTACCTCAAGGTCAGGAAAACCACCACCAAGATCACCTAGGACACGAGAGGGGAGAGGGAACAATCTCTACTCCGGGTGAATCCTCACCGCATTCTCCTGTAACACAATGACTCCCAGCAAAGACTATCTTTGTATATTTAAATGTCCTACATAGGGTATGCTCAGGACCATGTTTTCTTCTAATCTTAAATTTCCCTGTGCATCTAGAATAGAGCTTTATATACTACAGGCATTAATGTTTTATGTTGTTTTTTTAGAGAGATGAAGGGAGGGCTGGAAGGAGGGGGGCAGAGAGGGTCGGGGGGAGAGGGAGAGAGAGAGAGAAACATCGATTGGTTTACCTTTTTTATGTGCCCCAACTGGGGACAGAACCTGCAACCTAGGTATGTGCCCTGACTGGGACTCGAACCTGCAACCTTTCGGTGTATTGGACAATGCTCCAACCAAATGAACCATACTGGCCAGGGCTTAATGTGTTTTTTTAATTAAATAATGAAGAAAGAACTATCTGCAGAAATAATTCTTAAAATGTAGATGGGCAGGAAGCATGAAGTAACAGGCAAAAACTTTTATAAGGTACAAGTCTAATTTAGAGCAAATGCTTAATCAATCTTTCCTTGCTTGGTAAAAACAGGATCAATAATCTCCTTTGAAAAAGTATCGAAATGTTGGAATTAGGAAACCCTGTCTATAGTGGACGTCTTTCTGTCCAGTTTACCTTTAGGGACCCTTCCCCCTCTCCCCTTGTATAATATTAAACAGTTCAGTCCGTGTGATAGGATGGAGCTGACCTTGTCCGCTAGCACCAGGTGTCCACACAACCTCAGGATGGGCCAGGAAGAACACTCCCTCCCAGGGCCAGTGACAGGTTACAAATAGGCGGGGACTCAGGCTGGGGGAACCACGGTCCTCTCGGGACACTGTCCACAGTGGTTAGAAAAGACACCCTTTTCCATGGGGATTTTGAACTGGTAGGAAGTGACTCTTACAGTCATCTCTATCACCCTGAGGGGAGAACCTGCCTGAAAATGAGGGTAACACACAGGAAAATAGAAATAATAGATGGAGTAGGTAGGGGGAACAGAGGGAGGAAAGGCAGATTCTTGATAATAAAATCTGAGGCCCTGAATCCAGCCATGCCATAAGCCAAATTCCACCCCTGAATTTCACACATATATGAATAAATTAATTCCCTCCTCTTCCCCCTTAAGTCAGCCTTAATTTGGTTTCTGTTACTACCTCTCTCTGGAGTCCTGACTCATACCCATTTTATTTGTTTTATTAACACACATCCTTTGGAATGATTGTAATTTGTGATAATGATAAAATGAGATAACATATAGAACAGTATTCTATAAAATGTATAGCTCTATATAAAATATGATTTGGGATGTGTGGTTTTAGAACAAAATTCACAAAAAACTGGAAAACATCAATACACTTCAGAATGTTATGTTCCCTAGGCAACTAAGGTATCAAATTAAAAGTGACTTTGAATTATCCAAGATGAGAAGATAGTAAACTTTTGAAAATTATATAGGTCCTTTCCCCTAGTAACTGGGGAAGGAAACTTTATCCCCTGATAGGCTTGATTTCTTAGAGAGTAAATAAAATGTTTCAGAAGTAGCAGGCTTATCAGTTTCCCCACTGGGTTTCTCAGAGATAACAGTAACACTAATTTAACTTCGGAAACTAAAGAATTAAAAAGGTAGAGGTCACTACAAACAAGCAGTGAATCTACCCTAGAGTTCAGCTTGTACATAAGTTACAGTGAAAATATTCTATAAGCAGTTACAACTCATCCATGCATGTCTGTCTCCTTCTTTCCCCTTCTAAGCATCTGCCACTGACTATTCTCCAAGCTGAAAAAAGAAAAAGCTTGTAACTTATGTTTAGGTAAGAGTAGTGTATACTGTGGAGTTCTAAAATGGATATGAGAACTTTTGAAAACTAAAATTTTGTGAACTGAAAATTCACATTTATAAGTTTTTTCTCAATCTAATGATCATAAACCTCTGGTGTGCCATATTTTAGAAATGGCGTACTTTCTGTGCAATATGCAAAAGTGCACTGAACAATATGCACTTTCACAAAACAGGAGTGAAGGGGACATTCATATTATGTCATTAGTGACGGTCTCTGCTGCTACTGATGATGGCAACTTGCTGGGGGGGTGAGAGGAAAGCACATTCAGACTCCCCCCTATAAGACCCACAGATTTCAAAGTTTCAAAAAGGATACTGGCCAAAGTGTTCATTTTGCTCTGAATTGACTTCAACATTCCTCTCTGTGAAGTCATATTTTCTTTTGTTGCCATAGCAATGCTGCAAGGGAGAAAACAAAAGAAGCGATTTAAATTGGCATTTAAGATGATCCTATTTGGGTCTATCATACCCTTAACAGTGAACAGAAAACTAAGGCGAACAATATCATCTTGAAAAGCACTGGGCAGGGCCCAGCCAGTGCAGCTCAGTGGTTGAGTGTTGACTTATGAACCAAGAGGTCATGGTTCGATTCCTGGTCAGGGCACATGCCCGGGTTGTGGCTCGATCCCCAGTGTGAGGCATGCAGGAGGCAGCTACTCAATGATTCCCTCTCACCATTGGTGTTTCTATCTCTCCCTCTCTGAGATCAATAAAAATATATTAAAAGGAAAAAAGAAAAAGAAAAGCACTGGGCTGGAAAATAAAAGATCACTTCCCAAGTCACCTTCCTACTGACCATTTTTAAATGACCACTACATCACCACTGCTATCCTCTGGGATCTTCTTGGGCAAGGAAGTGAGCCATTTCCTGTGTTTTTCCCCCACAAAGTAATAAATAACGTAAGACAGTAACAGACAAATCAAATATTACAAGAGCTTCTTAAAATGGTTGTAAAAAGGGCCAGTTACAATGTCCTTAATCAGGAAAACCTGTTGAGGGGGAAGTAGGCAATTACAATCATAAAAATAGAACCCAAAGTGTAACATATCACAAAACATTTATACAACCCAACCTCAATTTATGAAAAGATTATGTTCGACAAGTCTACTTGAGAACCAATCCAAGCAGATTGTACGACACACATGCAACATAATGCTGGATCTCTAAGCCAGGTGATAAAGGTCATTAAACAACTGAGAGAAGGGAAAAAGTCACTGTAGAGTACAGTTTCTTCCATGTGACTACTTTGACGTCGTTTAAAAAAGAATCTTAATATCTTTTTGCTATCACTGCCCCAAGATTATTAACTTTCAACAGTCTTATCTCCTTGCACATTAAAATCCTATAGGGCAGGTCAGCATCCATTTTCATATGCAACACACAGGGGAGTGTTTTAGATACTGACATTATAAAAAGCAATAGGAAATAATATCATGCATTTGAGTAATTCTGAAAATATGTGAAACATTAACGACAATAACAACAAAGCCTGTTGTTTCTGAAGAGATTCTGGGAAGATGGTGATCAGACCTCATCCCTGACCTCATCTCTGGCCCAATTACCACCCTGAGGGAATAAAAGAACAAAGGCAGACGTGTGGGGGAAGGTCCATCTGAGGTCCAAAGTTCTCTTGAGCTCTCCAAGGGAAGAAAGCCAGGGGTGCTACACTCTCCCGAGTGAAGGAAGAACCAGGGAACTCATGGCAGGGAAGACTAGATTGTTCTTTCAGCCTGAGCAGAGAACTAGGTTTCACTGCATTCTGAAGGGCCCAGACAGTGGAAAGATTAGGGCTGCAGCAATGGACTGAACCGCCCCAGTCCCTGCAGCTGGAAAAGGACTGGCACGTACAACCAGAGGCCTATAAGCAGGGAGCTCACAGTCTTCCAGCTAATGTGGTGCCACTGCCAGGAGGAAACACTGCTGGGCCATCTACCACCACCTGATATGTCACTGCTTTAGGGTCTCTAATAGCTGGATGTATCAGGGAGCTAACTGAACACATGTTTGGATAGGCAAGACCTAGTATTCTATTGAAGGAAAATGCTGGAGAGAGTACTCTAAGCAAATGACAAATGAATCAAAACTGAAATTTTAAGATTTGAGAAGGCAAAGAAGGAATAAAAGTGTGTAAGAAGATATATAGACAGATATCTGTTGAAGCATTATTTGGAATAGTAAAAGACAAACAAGAAATTTGGAACCAACACAGGAATGGTTTAGTAGATTATGGTATAACCATATTAAGAAATAATATTTGGTTATTAAAAAGAATGAGTTTGCCAAAACCGGTTTGGCTCAGTGGATAGAGCGTCGACCTGCAGACTGAAAGGTCCCAGGTTCGATTCTGGTCAACGGCATGTACCTGGGTTGCGGGCACATCCCCAGTAGGAGGTGTGCAGGAGGCAGCTGATCGATGTTTCTCTCATCAATGTTTCTAACTCTCTATCTCTCTCCCTTCCTCTCTGTAAAAAATCAATAAAAAAAAGAAAAAAAAGAATGAGTTTATAATATTTCTATTAACCTGGAGGGATGTTTATGATACACTAAATGATTAAAGTAAGCTACAGAATGTGTACAGTATGAGCTTTTTTTTTTTTTACTATATATTTTTATTGATTTCAGAGAGGAAGGAAGAGGGAGAGAGAGACAGAAACATCCATGATGAGAGAGAATCATGGATCGGCTGCCTCCTGCGAGTCCCCCACTGGGGATTGAGCCCACAACCCGGGCATGTGCCCCCTGACCAGAACCGAACCAGACCCTTCAGTTAGCAGGCAGACGCTCTATCCACAGAGCCAAACTGGCCAGGGCCTTTTTTTTTTAAAGAAACAAAACATTTTTGTGTGTATTTGTATGAAAGTAAGAAAGGTATTGGATACATAACCATCAGTTAATACAAGTTACTTTAGGGGGAAGGAATGGAGGGGCACTACTAGCAGATGAACCTTGTACATTTATAGAATTGTTTAAATGTTACCATTAGAACATTGCACTTTTATAACATGTAAATATCGAATAAAGAAAATTAGAGGAATTCCACCGAAGTGATCAAGAAATGTTAGTAACATTACCAGCACCAAATCTACTGTTATTCACCTCAGTACCACTAGGAGCTTTTCTCCAGAAAAGCTCAAGAATTAAGGGAACCAGGTACATCTGAAGACAGAAGTATGGAATAGGGCTAAGAATGGAAATTTGTACAGAGTTGTCAGAACCCTAAATTACCTTCCCAAACTATGCACTCAGATAACTGCCCCCAGTGTAGTAGACCTGACCTAGGAGGAAACCTGGAGACACGGACATGTGAAGTCCCCTGCGAAACCGCCAGCTCCCTTCCTGATTACCCACTGTGAGGCTACCACTCAACAAGTCCCCCCGCCACGCACACAGAATGAGCTTCCAATCACTGGATTGGAGCCTCACTCTTAAAAGAGCCAAGAATCACTAGACATTGGAGGAGAGCTTCTAACATAAAAGGCAGAGATCTAAATAAACAACCAGCAAACAGAAAAGTGAGTCTGAGGAAATAAGAGACAATAAAGGAAGCTCAGGAAACTTAAAATCAAATTATATTTAATGTCTTCAGAGAGATAAAAGAAGATTACCCATCCATGAAACATGTAAACATATAAATATATGTGTATGTATGTATCCATCCCTTAGGAAAGCTCATGTAAATTAAAAAAAAGAAAAGGAAATAAATATGCACACTAAGCTCATCATGGTGAGTTTAAAAACAAATAAAAACACAGGGGAAAAGGAATGGTCCCAAAAGCTTTCTGAGAAAACAGCTTATCACATACAAAGGATTAGAAATTTTAATTGGCATTGGACTTAAAAAGCAATACTGGAAACAATGCCTTAAAAATTTCAAAATGATCTCCAATCTAGAATTCTATTCCTTATCTAAATTATGAACCAGAATATGGGTAGAATAAAGACTTTTTAGATGTGGGTGCGGGAAGTCCAAAAAACTTACCTCCTGCTCTTTCTCAGGAAGCTGCTACTAAAGAACATGGTCCCGCATAGTGAGGGAACAAACTAAGAAGGTGGAAGACACTAAATCCAAGAAAAAGTTGATCTGATAAAGATTAGTTTAGGATAATGATAAAAAGGACATCCCAGTATCAAAATAGTATGAACAGGCTCAGAGAATAATCAGTCAAAAGATGAGAAGAGAAAGGCCCTGGCCAGGTGGCTCAGTTGGTTGGAGCATCATCCCATACACCGAAAGGCTGTGGGGGTTCGTATCCCTAGACAGGGTGCGTATGGGAGCAACTGATCTCTCTCTCAAAATCAGTAAAAACATATCCTCAGGTGAGGATTAAAAAAGAATTAGAGCAGACGGAAGCAGGCAATTAGAACATACTGAATTTTAGATAAAAAAAAAAAAGAGCACAAAAAGAGTCAAACTAATAATAATGTCATTATTTCTTATTCATAATTTTTCAGTTTAAATGTGCTCTATGACAGCATATGGTACATTTAAATGTGGCTGTTTTAAAATGAATTTACTTTACAAAGTATTTAAAAATTGATATTATGTATGATCTTGTATAAAGAATTCAGAACCGGGCTGAGTAATCTGACACCAATCTTTGAATCATATATGTCTCTGTTTTTTAAAACTGGGACTATCACTGACTCCTGTGCACTCTGACTCAGAAGTAGATAGAGAAGATTAAAAAATAATTTCTGCAAAGTACTTTGTATTCCTTGGAGAATGGATATTATCAACATACATTATGTTATTGTCTTGTTGAATATGCATGATTTCCAGTACCACACAAAGTATATCTAGACATACTTTCCCATCTCGTAACATCATTTGGAGTCAAGCTGAGTGGAATCTAGGCTGTTATTTCAAGGGTCAAATACTAAGAGGCAAACATAAGCTCCAAATAATATATAATGCTTTTAAAATAATAAATCATTGATGTGCTTACTGGAACTTCAACTTTCTTACCTGTTTTGTGAACTACGCAGACACTAGAGAATAAAGAGTGAGGCTAAAAAAATAGTATAAATTAATCAGAAAAATCAACCTAGCTAAAAGAGCCTGGGCATCACATGTCTCTTACAAGGGAAAGATACAATATAAAAATACACTACAATCTAATTAAATTCACATCTTTAAGGAGGATGAATTAACTTTAGTTACAAAGCTAACCACATCTGTTCATTTGTGTGCAAACAAAAAAAAAAACACAATAAAATAAAAAAAGTATTCCTACCTTATTGTCTCTTCTATCAGACGATCTGAGCTGTAACAAAAAATTCAAATTCTAGAATTATTAAAAGCACATTTAAAACTTGTATTTAATTTTTCTACATTTTCTAGGTATGTTAACTTTCCAACCATTTATTAAACAAAATACCCAGACTTTTGGAAGCATCTGAAGAATATTCTGAACTCTAAAATAAATTTAATTTATATATATGTAAATATCTAATAAAGATAATTTTCATCTTACTTTTATTTGTTGGCTTAAATCTATTTCTTCCACAGAGAAACTTGAAATCAGAACAGTTTTAATGTGAGCATAAATAAATGAAACGTCTTTAATTTAGATAGATCAAAGTTGTCACTACTGTCTATTCTAAGCTTAAGAATTACAACCAACTTGTTGAGACAGGATAGGTAAATACAGTTCTGATGCCAATAAGTAATAATTATTTACACCTTAAAGTTCCTTCCTTTCTTGGGAAACTAAACCAAATCTCAGTTTATCATACTTTAGAATCTGAATAAAGAAACAAAGTGCTCCTTCAATCTGTAAATGTTCGCCTTTATGAATCACACACTGCAAAGAAAGAAACCCCCCCAAAAAGCCATTTTAGGGAGGAATTTATAGGTAGCTAAATTTGGTAAAGGGGCAGCTTTACAACAGAAAGTAGGAAAATAACTCCAGATATCTGTATCCATTTGGCATAATGCATGATACACAGTAGGCATGCAAATAAATACTTGCATATTTTTTTCTAAATACTTCTTTCCAAAAGAATTTCTAAATAAAATAAAACAAAAACTAAGCCAGAGATATGGACAACAGATTGGTGGTTACCAGAGGAGAGGGGTTGGGGTGAGGTGAAATGGCTAATGGGGGTCAAATATATGGAGATGGATGGGAACCAGACTTTGGTGGTGAGCAAGCTATAGTATATACAGATATTAAATTATAATGTAACCCAGTCCTAGCCAGTCTGGCTTAATGGATTGAATGTCGGCCTGTGGACTGAAGGGTCCCGGGTTTGATACCGGTCAAGGGCACATGCCCGGTTGCAGGCTTAATCACCAGTAGAGGGCGTGCAGGAGACAGCTGATCAATGATTCTCTTTCATTGTTGATGTTTCTATCTCCCTCTCCCTTCCTTTCTGAAATCAATAAAAGTATATTTTTAAAAATAATGTAACCCTGAAAGTTATATAACTGTCACCTCAAAAATAAATAAATTCTACATTCATTCTATAAACCAATAGGTTGAAGTTTCATTATAAAATTCTGGACCAGGAAATCTAATTTACTGCATGAATCAGGGAACAAATATGAACTTCAAAAAAAGTCATAAATATCTTATATAAATCCTATGAATAAGAATTTCAAAAATTACAAAGATGGTGGAAAAATTAAAGGCCAGGCGGTGTGGCTTTTGAATGCTGGCTCTACCACTTACTAGCTATCTGATATCAAGCCAGTTACTATGTGCCTCAGTTTTCTCACCTGTAAAATGGGAATGATCATAAGACCTACTTGTTAAGAGGATTAAAGAAATATATATATATATATACATACATACATACATACAATGATTAGAACAGTATCTGGTACATAGTAAGTGCTAAGTACTTTTTGCTGTTACTACAGTAGTTTCTCAATAACTACAGACTAATTTTAATCTAAGCATACGGTTGATATAAATTTTCACATAAACCCATTGTTCTGGTGGAATCTACTAATTATAAAGTATGCATTTATTTTATTAAGAAATGCATATGGACGTGCCCCTGAAGGGTACTGTGTCAGACATGGGTTACAAAGATAAGACACTAACCTCCAGAGGTCTTACAATGGAGATAGATAACACATATGCCTTTCCCTTCCCTCTCATCTAGTAACCTCCAGATCATTGGAGGGTCTCTTCATTCCAAATTTTATCATCATTCTAGACCAGCCATGGGCAAACTACAGCCCGCGGGCCGGATCCGGCCCGTTTGAAATGAATAAAACTAAAAAAAAAAAAAAAGACCGTACCATTTTATGTAATGATGTTTACTTTGAATTTATATTAGTTCACACAAACACTCCATCCATGCTTTTGTTCCGGCCCTCCGGTCCAGTTTAAGAACCCATTGTGGCCCTCGAGTCAAAAAGTTTGCCTACCCCTGTTCTAGACTATTTAAATAGCCACAGAAAACAGACTCTCCATATCCTAAACTCATAGTTCCTTGATCTCTTTTATGCCAATGAATGAACATGATTGCCCCTATAATTTCTTTAGCCTTCCTCAGATTTAGTAACTTCTCTCCTTTCCCACAATTATTCAATTTTTATCATAATAACTAGGTAAAGGGGTCCTCAAAAGGTCTTGAGACAAATAAAATTAACTTAGTAATCATTATTTCCAAATTTGAAAACAGAATCAGCAATATATAAAAAGAATTCGATACCATGACTAGGTTTTATCCCAAGGATAAAAGGCTGGTTCAATATTTAAGATCAATCCATGTAATCTACCTATTAACAAGCTAAAAAGCATTTGACAAAATCCAACACCCATTCATGAAAAAAATTCTCAAAAAATGGGAAGGGGTACATCCTCAGCTTGATAGAGAGCATCCACAAAAACATATAGCTAGCATTATAATTAATAGTAAAAGACTAAACATTTTCCCCCTAGGGAAGGGCAATGAAGCCCAAACTCACCACTTTTATTCAACACTATACTGGAAGTTCTAGCCAATGCAATAAAGCAAGAAAAGGAAATAAAAGGCATACAGATTGGAAAGGAAGAAATAAAACAGATGACTAGATTGCCTATATAGAAAATCCAAGGGGGGGGTCAATTGGGGGAAAAGGAGACTTATAATTATCCATCTAAAAAAAAAAAAAAGAAAATCCCAAATCTATATAAAATTTCCTACAACTAAAAAGTGAGTTAAACAAGGTCAGAGGATACAAACATGTATATTTCTATATATAGATAGTCCCTGACTTCTGATGGTTTGACTTAAGACTTTTCTTTTTTAAAAAAATATATTTTATTGATTTTTTACAGAGGAAGGGAGAGGGATAGAGAGTTAGAAACATCCATAAGAGAGAAACATCGATCAGTTGCCTCCTGCACACCCCCCACCAGGAATGTGCCCACAACCAAGGTACATGCCCTTGACCGGAATCGAACCTGGGACCCTTCAGTCCTCAAGCTGACGCTCTATCCACTGAGCCAAACTGGTTAGGGCTGACTTATGACTTTTCATCTTTTTTTAAAATCCTCACCTGATGATATTTTCCCATTGATTTTTAGGGAGAGGGAAAGACAGAGAGAAATATTGATGTGAGAGAAACGCATCAATTGGTTGCCTCCTGCATGAGCCCCGACCAGAGCCTGGGCCAGGGAGGAGCCTGAAACAGAAGTACGTGCTCTTGACCAGAATTGAACCGGGGACCCTTCAGTCCACAGGCCCACACTGTTTCCACTGAGCCAAACCCAGTTAGGGCAATTTTTCATCTTTACAATGGTGAGAAAGTGATATGCATTCAAAAGAAACCAGCTGGGCTAAGCTATGATGTTCAGTAGGTTAGATGTATTAAATGCATTTTCAACTTAGGACATTTTCAATTTATGATGGGTTTATTGGGACATAATCCCATTGTACGTCATGAAGCATCTGTACTAGCAATAAACATGTAGACACTAAAGTTAAAATACAATACCATTTAATTGTTCAAAAAAGAAATACTTAGGTGTAAATCTAACAAAACCCATATAGAAATTGTATGCTGAAAACTACAAAATGGTGATGAAATCAAAGAATATCTAAGTAAATGAAGAGACATACTATGTTCACAGATTGGAAGATTCAACAAAGATGTCAATTCTCCCCAAATTGATATACAGGCTTAAGACAATTAGTTAAAAAATAAACTCATTATATTTGTTTTCAAAGACAATGTTCCTGAAGACGTGAGGTTGAAATGGCCACTAAGGAGTAACTTTCTGTGTTACATAAGAAAGAAAATTCTTTGATGTTGTTTGTGGTCACAGATATAACCCTTGCTTTATGTAATGAGTACTTTTCTTAAAAGGTATGCTTTCTGAAAATGACCATTTTAGATCATATTTTAAATGTAATAAGACTATTCTACTTACATGAATCAAATTAAAAATCTTATAAAGCAAATATACATGCCTCCATTTATTTTTCATTTTTTGTATAAAACTAGATTTTCAGTAATGTTATCTTTAATCCATTTTTATTTTATTGACTTGAGAGAGAGAGAGAGAGAGAGAGAGAGAGGAAGGGGGAAGAGAGAGAGAGAGAGAATGAGAAACATCAATCAGTTGCCTCCACACGCACCCCGACCGGAGATCAAACCAGCAACATGGGTATCTGCCCTGACTTAGAACTGAACCCGCCACCTCTTGATGTATGGGATGATGCTCCAACCAACTTAGTTTATATAAGTAGCATAGACAGAGGAAGGCCAGTGATTTGATGTATTAAACATTCTTCTCAGACTGCCCAAAGTCTACACTTTCTTTTGTCCTTATTTGGCTAAGATCCCAACTAAGTAAACACCATTCATTAAAATCATCCTGGATATTGTGGATACAATTCAACAACAGAGGAGCTGCATAAAAATGGCATAATCAAGTAAAAATGGAATTTAAAACTGCTTTCCTTTGGGGCATAAAATATAATCAAGTGAAATTACCCTTCTTAAACAAGTACTCCGTAACAGCCCAGAAGCATTCCAGAAAGTCATCTAGAGTCTGCAATTAAGCAACAAATTTGTTTCTTTCCAGACCAATTTAAACTAGCTAAAAACCATGAACTAAATTTCATCATCAATTATGATACCGAGCCACATTTAAATAATTCTTTTAAAAAATAATTCATTTTCCTAATGTACACTGCAAACAGCACACATTTCAAGAACAAAAATGGGATTTCAAGCCTTTATTTTAAAGTAACTTAAACCAACAAAATGTTAGAACTTGGCAAAATCAGTTAGATAACATCCAATTGGAATCTTCTTTTA